TCAAAAAAATTGAAACATACATATATAATATCCTAAGTCTCAATGAAAGAATTCAAGAAGAATCCCCTACCTCGATTTTACAGTTTTTGTGTAAAAATCTAACGTGTTTGATCCGTTGCAACGTAAAAATTCCCTTTAATCTCGTGTTTCTCCTCTTCTTTCTTGCTCTCTAATACTCTTTAGGGTTAGAACTGATGAAATAGGGCAAGGGAATACATCTTTGGGTATTTATAGTATAAGAAAACAGTCCAAGCAACACAAATCTAATACTTAGAATTGCGACCACACATTCGAACTATCTACCTGACGTTTGAACGTCATTTTGGCGTTCGAACGTTGCTTGCTCCCAGTAATTTTGCTTTTCCATCAGAGTTCTTTTAGACACAAAAAGTACTGGAACTAACTGTCGTTCAAATGGATCCATTCACGTTCGAACGGACTCTCATATTTAGTTGAACTTCCAATGAAGTTTTGGCCTATTTATAGGTTGATTTGAAAATTTTTCTTGAAATACTCTTTTGTATCCTTAAAATCTAGTGTCTACTATAAAAATTTCAGATTAAACGGATATCAGAGTAAAAAGTTATGGTCCAAATACTAAGGCAGTGCCAAATTCCTTCCTACCCGAATTCTATCTAAAATGTGCTTTAACTTTAAAATACTTCCCAACTTCTATTACACACCCTATTACCTCGCCTAACATTTTTATTTATACACTTACAATCAATATAGTTCATGCTTACATCATCACATATATGAGCATTTCAAAATAATTACGTTATTATATAAAGATAAGAATGTGAGGGTTTATAATTTTAATTTGGGCTAAAATTGATAAACCTATTCACCCTTCCTCTAGGTTAAATGTCTTGGTTTCTACGTGTATAATAATGAGGGAAGACCCACATCGGGTTCCCCTTCTCAGAACATCAAAATTCAAATAATCGACAATTGTACTTCACTTCATTTGTATATATGTGTAATAAAACCTTGAATGTTGCACATTGATGACCTTCTCCGAGCGGTATATCTTCACTTGCTTCATATTTTGCAATGTACACATTGTTATTACATCTAGACAAGTCATAAGATATTTTTCATGTTAATTCATATTGGAAATCTTTAAATTTTTCCCTTGTGTAAGTACTTTGGCACTACTTCTCCATCTCATAACAAAATAATGCACAAGAGCCATGATTTGAAAGAATTGAATTCTTTTTGATTCTTCTTTTCCATCTTATCTTGCAATGCATTCTCATATTGTTCAACAAATTGTTTCAATGTTGTCTTGGAATTTACATACCCATCAAAGAATGTATGTATGCATGCTTTCACTTCATTGTGTAGTTGACTTTTTCTACCAAAAAAATATCTTTCACAAAGGTAGACACATAACATTCTCTCTCCTCGTACAACTCAGTTAACCATTCATTACTTTTTTAGATTGTATTGCACAATGAACCTGCACTGTCTTCGAATTCTTCTCTTGTTAATGAATCATAAACAACATTTTACATAGAGAAATTCATTAAATCATATTGATTGTACCCTCTTAACTTTTCAGGTAGTTTTTTCATGACATATCATAAGCATCACCGATGACGTGAATTATGAAACACAATTTGTATGGAGTTTTGCATGGATCTATCTTGATCTATAGTTATTGCGGAGGGAGAACAACAAAACATGCATTTAACTAAAATAGCCATGCAAATGTCTATGTGTTTTCACATGATATAAGTTTGCACCCTAGTAATGTAGATTATCCATGATGGTTCACACCTACAAATGGTGTGAATGGAATGTCATACTTGTTTGTCAAGTATGTTGTGTCAAATGTACGTTACCAAATTCTTGTATACGAATTTACTTCTTACAGCTGCCCAATAGACATTCCTAAGACGACCTTCTTCATCTAAGTCCATCATGTAAAAGAAATTTGAATTATTAGTTTGCATTCCTCAAGAAATAATTGTATATAACAGTAGCATCTCCTTCCCCAAGTCATAAATGTCTGACGTTATCCAGGGCGACCCAACTTATAGGCCACTAAAGCCATTGCCTAGGGTCCCCAAATTGGAAGAAAAATTTAGGGTCCCAAAATAAAATTTTATACAATGATATACAATCTACATGTTGAGATATAATTTAAATACTCAATACATTTTAACAATTGAATTAACATGGAGTGTTAACTTTAAATAAAATACATTATTTATCCAATGCATTTAGACCTCAAATCAAGTACAAAGTAGTATTATCGTAAAATTTTTAGAACCTCTTTCAAAAAATTAGGGCCATAGAGTTCATCTTAATTTTCTTATCTCACTCGATGTTTATATTATATGTATTATCACTTTGTAGTATTATTATTAAANAAAGGTAGGATAGGAGGTTGATGAACTTACTGACATTCAGTTCAACAAAATACCGACACATGGATATGGCAAAGTTCCAAAATGTAGGACACGATTACCATGAGGATATGACTAATTAAAATACTATTATGTATTTATATATATATAATAAAGACATTAATAATAACTAATAAGACCTAGCAAACCTTAATTTTTTTTTACTATAATTGAAATAGATCAAAGATTCAAAATAAACATCCACCATTTNAGTAGAAATAATACACTATTTGAAACTAATCAACCACAGTTGTCTTACTAGTTAAACTAATTTTTAATTATGTTTTTGTTTATCTTCAACAAGTGCTATTTGAATACAATTTAGAAATCTAATTCAATACAATTATTAAAAACTCACAACTAATCTAATAATTGTCTTAAAATAANTACTATAATTGAAATAGATCAAAGATTCAAAATAAACATCCACCATTTCCTCTAATATAATTACATCAAATTTAGAATCACGAGCAAAAAAATCAGATAAAACCCTTACTTCATGAGCCAGATGATTATAAACTTTAAATAACAAAATCAATGCACAAATCAAACCCAAAGCATGCAAACCACAAAAGTAACAAACCCCCCCCACCCCTCCAAAAAAAAAAAAAAAGCAATGAGCATGGGAAGAGTGGGACACCGAAGTTGGTTGAAGGCTTGAAGTAGATATGGGAACCCTTCTTCTTCTCCTCTCTTCGGAGGGACTCAGATCTAACTCTGTTTTCACTCTTTTTTTTTTTGGTTACAGCCCCTAAACTTTCTAAATTAACAAACTAAACAAAGTTGTATTCTCACATATACCGTACGTATCCCCTACATATCTGAGTTGTGTTCAACTAAATTTTTTTTTCTCTTGGACACGTGTCCGACCATGTTCCACGTGTATCTGTGTTGGACACGTGTCCAACACTGCCTTGTCGACCCCCTGGCGAGTATCCGTGCTTATGGGTGTGCAAGAATTCGAAAATTCGATTTCATCTCCGTCAGAGTCGGATGAAGATTGTAGAATCCGATCGGAGTTTGAAGGCCTATCCAAAAAACCTCCGACTCTGACTTTTATTAATAAATAATTTTATATAAATTAAAAATTATATAATATATTATAACATAATTATAAAAATATACACAGCTCAATTATTAAGGTTCCATAGCAAGAGGCCATGGATCTTGGCAAGCCTTCATAGCAGTAATCGATTCGTGGAGCACGATGGATCTGTTCATGGCGTGCATTCCACGAGTCTTAACCACTCTTCGTCTTTGGAGGCCTGTCTAGATTTGTTTTTTTTTTCTAGATCTAGTGTTTGTTGCTTTGGTTTTTCGGTTTGGTGTTTCATTTTCATGTTTTCAGATCTTGTTTTTGGGTGTTAAGTTTAGAGAAAAGCTTAACACAATAAGAGAGAGGTAAGGAGAGGTTTTGACTTACCTTACATCTCACTATTAATCTTATATTTTTATTTACTGAACAAAGAAGTAAAAGACGAGTATACCCTTTGTGTGGTGTACATATTACAATAAACGTAAACCCTAATTATATTATAGTAGCTTTTTCAACACTCTCCTTCAAGTTAGACTATAGATATCATATAATTTAAGTTTGGAACAAATATCCATAAGACGAGTACAACCAATGCTTTGGTGAACATGTCTGTAAGTTGAGTCTTACATCTCACAAACGGAGTTGCAATGTCTTCACTTAGTATCTTGTCTCGAATGAAATGACAATCAACTTTAATATGTATGGTCCTCTTATATAACACTAGATTGGTAGCAATATGAACGGCTGTATGATTATCATAGAACAGTTGTAACGGTAGCTGAACTAGAAAATCAATTTTTCGAACAAAGTGTAATAATCATGTCAACTCACTAATTGTATGTGCCCTTGCTCTATATTCAGCCTTAACATTAGATCGTGCTATTGCTTTTTACTTTTCCATCAAACAACATTACCTTCCAAGAAGGTGCAATAATCAGTAGTTGATCGTCGATCAGATGGAGAATTAGTCCATTCAGCATTCGAAAAATCTTCCACTCGAATATGTCCATTAGCTTGATATAACAATTCAAGATCAGGAGCATTTTTGAGATATTGAAAAATACGAATGACTGCATCCCAATGTGGTACTTTAGGATATCCCATAAACTGACTTACTGTACTGACTACATATGCAATATCTAGTTGAATAATAGTGAGATAATTAAGCTTCCCAATCAACCTGCGATACTAACCTGGATTATCAAATAGAGCACCATCATCCATCAATAACTTTTGGTTTGGATCCATAGGAACATCAACTAGTCTACCACCTAGTAAATCTGTCTCTTTTAACTTGTCAAGTACATATTTCCTTTGAGATAGAAAGATACCCTGCTTAGATCTGAGAACTTCAATATCCAAGAAGTACTTAAGTTTTTCCAAATCTTTCGTATGAAATTTGTCTTGCAAAAATATTTTTAACTGAGTGATGCCCTCAAAATCATTACCAGTGATTACGATANCTGCACCAATCCACTCACTGATCGGAGCAAACCAACCAAACCCACAAATCCACTCACCGATAGAAGCAAAGCACAGATCGGAGTTAGTCAATCGAATGCACAAATCACTGATCTGTTTCGAGGAGTAAGAATCAGTTTCTGTCGTAGATTCGCAGATCTGATCTTGAAGAGAAACCCACAGATCCAGCAGAAGGCTACCGTTGGGAAATTCGGTGACGAAAACCGTACGGCAATGACAAACTCTCGTTTTGTAATTCCGATGATCGTAGCTGCCTTTCTGTTCGGATACATATCGCCATCATCAGCTTCCGGCGCTGGAGAAGCTTCATCTGCCTCTGTGGAATTCGTCAAGAAAACCATCTCTTCCCATTCCATCGTCATCTTCTCCAAATCCTATTGCCCGTATGGAGTCTCTTTCTCTTTCTCTTTCTCTNATACACAGCTCAATTATTAAGGTTCCATAGCAAGAGGCCATGGATCTTGGCAAGCCTTCATAGCAGTAATCGATTCGTGGAGCACGATGGATCTGTTCATGGCGTGCATTCCACGAGTCTTAACCACTCTTCGTCTTTGGAGGCCTGTCTAGATTTGTTTTTTTTTTCTAGATCTAGTGTTTGTTGCTTTGGTTTTTCGGTTTGGTGTTTCATTTTCATGTTTTCAGATCTTGTTTTTGGGTGTTAAGTTTAGAGAAAAGCTTAACACAATAAGAGAGAGGTAAGGAGAGGTTTTGACTTACCTTACATCTCACTATTAATCTTATATTTTTATTTACTGAACAAAGAAGTAAAAGACGAGTATACCCTTTGTGTGGTGTACATATTACAATAAACGTAAACCCTAATTATATTATAGTAGCTTTTTCAACACTCTCCTTCAAGTTAGACTATAGATATCATATAATTTAAGTTTGGAACAAATATCCATAAGACGAGTACAACCAATGCTTTGGTGAACATGTCTGTAAGTTGAGTCTTACATCTCACAAACGGAGTTGCAATGTCTTCACTTAGTATCTTGTCTCGAATGAAATGACAATCAACTTTAATATGTATGGTCCTCTTATATAACACTAGATTGGTAGCAATATGAACGGCTGTATGATTATCATAGAACAGTTGTAACGGTAGCTGAACTAGAAAATCAATTTTTCGAACAAAGTGTAATAATCATGTCAACTCACTAATTGTATGTGCCCTTGCTCTATATTCAGCCTTAACATTAGATCGTGCTATTGCTTTTTACTTTTCCATCAAACAACATTACCTTCCAAGAAGGTGCAATAATCAGTAGTTGATCGTCGATCAGATGGAGAATTAGTCCATTCAGCATTCGAAAAATCTTCCACTCGAATATGTCCATTAGCTTGATATAACAATTCAAGATCAGGAGCATTTTTGAGATATTGAAAAATACGAATGACTGCATCCCAATGTGGTACTTTAGGATATCCCATAAACTGACTTACTGTACTGACTACATATGCAATATCTAGTTGAATAATAGTGAGATAATTAAGCTTCCCAATCAACCTGCGATACTAACCTGGATTATCAAATAGAGCACCATCATCCATCAATAACTTTTGGTTTGGATCCATAGGAACATCAACTAGTCTACCACCTAGTAAATTTGTCTCTTTTAACTTGTCAAGTACATATTTCCTTTGAGATAGAAAGATACCCTGCTTAGATCTGAGAACTTCAATATCCAAGAAGTACTTAAGTTTTTCCAAATCTTTCGTATGAAATTTGTCTTGCAAAAATATTTTTAACTGAGTGATGCCCTCAAAATCATTACCAGTGATTACGATATCATCTACATAAACCACCAATAGAGTGTACCCTATATCTGTCTATCTGTGAAAAATAGAATGATCTGTCTGATATCGAAGAAGACCAAACTCTAATACTGCATCTGAAAATTTACCAAACCATGCTCTTGGTGATTGTTTCAAACCATTCAGAGATTTTTTCAGTCAACACACACTCCTACGATACTCCCCTTGACCAGTAAACCCAGGTGGTTGCTCCATGTAGACCTCCTCAGCCAAGTTACCATGCAAGAATGCATTCTTGACATTTAACTGAAACAGGGGCTAATCAAGGTTAGTAGCCAAAGAAATTAAAACACGCACAAGGAAATCTTGGCAACGAAAGAAAAAGTCTCTGCATAATCAACAACATATGTCTGAGTGAAACCATTAGCAACAAGACGAGCTTTGAGACGTTCAACAAGACCATCTGGATTAAACTTATTAGTATACACTCATTGACAACCAACTGTCCGTTTTTCAAGCATTACGAGAACAAGATCCCAAGTTCTATTCTTATGTAAGACATCCATTTCAACTTTCATAGCTTTTATTCAACCCGGATCAGACAAGGCACCCTGTAGAGTCTTAGGAATAGAGATAGTATACAGATACGAGGTAAAACAGGAAAAGACAAGAGACAAGACATCATAAGAAACAAAATTTCCATGATTGAGTACCTTTCCTAAGAATAATCAATAAGGAGTCGGAATTACTTGAGGAACGCGAATCAAGAGACAGCAAGGAAGCTGGCAAGGGCATTTCAGCTGATGACTGCACATGACAGAAGTATACACGGAGCGGAGAAGGGGATGGGGATACAATAGATGGAGGAGTAGGCGACGGTAAAGAAGGAGGTTGAGGTGTAGATTGCTCAAAGTTAAGATTCAACGGCTGCTCAGGAGCCAAAAATTATGGAACTTCATCATTAAAGGAACATTAATACTAGTGAAGTATCGACGAATAATAGGACTATAACATTGATACCCCTTTTGTGTATGAGAGTACCCAAGGAAGACACCTTTGGTAGCACAATGGTTAAGTTTATCAAATCCAAGCCCCAAGTTATGGACATAACAAACACACCTAAAAATTTAGAAGTTAAGGAGAATAAGGGGGTATGAGGTACAAGGATGGAATATGGACTTTGCCCATTTAACACAGAAGACGGCATGCGGTTAATAAGGTGACAGGCTGTAAGAACAACATCACTCCAAAGAATACGAGGTACATGTATTTGAAATAATAATGTATGGGTAACATTCAACAGATGTTGATTCTTACACTCAACAACACTATTCTGCTGAAAGGTATAGGCACAAAAGGTTTGATGAATAATGCCAGTCTATGAAGATAAGAGGATAAATGATCAAACTCATATTCTCTAGCATTATCAGAATGGAGAATACGAATGCGACAATTATATTGTGTTTTTACTTCTTGCCGAAAGGTCTCAAATATAGAGCATAATTTAGAACGGACTTTCATAAGAAATAACTAAGTCACATGAAAATATTCATCCACAAATGACATAAAATAAAGAAATTTATTAGATGAAATATTCTTTATTGGGTCCCATACATCAGAATGAACCAAAGTAAATGGACTCGATACACGGTTATTGATTCTAGACTGAGAGGAAACACGGTGATATTTACTAAGTTGACAAATTTCACAAGACACAGACGACACATGACTGAGACTAGGAACTTGACACTTTAGAATCTGGAGCGAAGGATGACCATGCCGACAGGGCCACTGAAAGGGAGATGACGAGGTCTGAAAAGTCCGAGGAGATCTATCAAGTCAAGATAGAGACCACTAACTTCATGTCCCGTAGCAATCTTCATCTTTATTTGGAGATCCTGAAACACACAGTAGGAAGGAAAAAAGGTTATCGAACAATTAAAAGAGCGAGTAATCTTGCTAATGGAAAGTAAAATAATGGGAAATTAGAAAACAAATAAATCTGATGATAAGGATATATCAGTACTCAATTGTGTAGTCTTCGACCTTGAAACTTTAGAGAAAATATTATTAGCAAGAGTAACACTTTGTGGGGAATTAACAGACTGATAAGTAGAAAAGACACCAAACGAACTAGTCATGTGATCAGAAGTGTCAGAGTCTATGATCTAGAAACTGCAAGTGGAGGATAATAAATAAGTAGAAGCAGTACTTGACTTGGCAAACGAGGCAGTGGAGGAAGATGAAACAATCTGCTGTTGGGACAAGAACTGAGCATACTCCTCACGAGTTAGTGTAACAGTCCTAGAGTCAGGTGGAGTTGGATGTGATAAGGAGGAAGTATCATTCTGATAAGAAGTCTGATTAGCAATGCCTGAAGGCTTGCCATGTAAATCCCAATAATAGTCAACAGTGTGTCCTCCACGACCACAATGAGTGCACACATGAGAACCAAATCGACCACCACGACCTCTAGTATGGCTTCCATGGCCCCCACGACCACCACGGTTGTCACGATCACCTCGAGAACTATCATTATGGTTAATAGGAACAACAAATGCTGAGCGATCAAGAGATATACTGTGGTCAACACCAGAAGGCCCAATAGACAATGTTCAAACCCATCAGGAAACAATCAACATTCATATCTTCATGCTACTTTTGCCGCACTGCAACATCATTGATAAACGGATGGTAGAGTTTTAGTTCCTCAAACTCCCGTGACATGGGAATAATAATTTGCAAGGCTCAAATTGCCTTGGTCTAAACGAAAGTGTTGTTGACACATCTCATATGCACAAGTAAACTTATCTGTGCTCGAATACATAATGGTCAACTGATTCTAAATTTCTTTAGCCATGTCAAGATAAGGTAAAGTGGAGCTAACACTAGCTTTAATACTATTCAATAATAAGGAGATAATCTGAGCATATGCCTGATCCCATTAATCATACCCAAGAGTACTTTCCGCGGGTTTAAGGTCCACTAAATATTTCTTGAGGCCTTTATCTTTCAGAAATACTTGGACTGATCGTGACTATAAAACATAATTAGTCTCATTAAGCTTGACCGACGTCATAGAACCATTAAATAGAACAGTAGAAGACAAACTAGGTGGCACAGGAGAAATAACAACAGATGTGTTATCATTCTTCGATTCCATAGCCATAGGAGGGCTAAACCAGGCTAGAACGGTGCGAAAAAAAGAGTTGAACCAGATGAAGCAGTGCCGAACCCGAGTTAAACCAACTGAAGTAGTGCTGGAGAGTGGTGAGCTAGAGCAGAACCAGTGGAATAAGGACTGGACGATGCTAAACTGGAATCGAACCAGTCAGTATGAGCCTAGATAGTGTTGAATTAGACCCGAATCAGTCAAAATTAGATCTGGATAGTACTAAATTGTGATGAACTGTGACGAACTAGGCTTACACATGTTTGAACAGGGGCGAACTATGTAACATTGACCTGTACTAGCCTAAGATTGGCTTGAACTGGTGCTGAGCCGTGACGAACTGGGCCTGAATTGTGGTGAACTGGCTTGAACCGGACTGGAACAGGCTAGGCTGGGACTGGACTTCCAAAAGACGTGGATTGGATTGGGGAGCTTGGGCTAAACGACGTGGGCCGGACTAGGGACTTGGGCCACAAGACTTAGGCTTTTAGAATTGACCCGAGTCCACAACCATCAAAGATTTGACCCGACCCGACCCTTATTGTTCACTGTCTTCAAGATTGCGAACAAACGCTAGCCTCCAACAAGTCTGCTCACACGACGGCGGCCCATAGCACTTCTGCGACAACAACCGATGAAGACCACCACCACACTGGCAGTAATCAACATCGATTTCATGTCACCGACCAGTGACGATAATTAGCCGATGACGACAAACAGCGAAATCAACTCAACAAACCACCATTGTCACCATAAATAACACCAATATCAAGATCAACTCAGCAGAAAATCACCATCGATTTCAACCGAAATCACACCTTTGGGAATGCACAGTTTCAGTGTAGACCCATCCAAAGATAGTAGGGACTCAACTCAGTGAAGGCGTGAAACAGAGAGAAAGAAAAGAAAAGACGAGGAAAATAAAAGAGGAAAGGAAAAAGATTGGACCTAATTGCTCTGATACCATGTTAAGTTTAAAGAGAAGCTTAACCCAATATGAGAGAGGCAAAGAGAGATTTTGACTTACCCTACCTCTCACTATTAATCTTGTATTTATAGTTATTGAACAAAGAAACAAAAGACGAGTTTACCCTTTGTGTGGTATACATATTACAATAAATGTAAACCCTAATTATATTATAGTAACTTTCTCAATAGTGTGGAATTAGATTTGATTTTTGTATGGATTTGAATCTGGTTTTTAGATTTGGCGTTTGATTTTCTGGTTTTCAGATCTGATTTTCTTGTGGAGTTGGATATGGTTTTTAGATATGATTTTTTTGTTTTATTTTTCTCTCTGTCAAAAAAAATATAAAAAAATCTCAAGTCTGAAACTCCGTTCTACCTCCGACAAGGTGGAATCGGTGGCGAACAAGGCGGAGTTGGTGGCGGAGTTATAATTGATTGAAATTGGAGTCAAAGGAAAAACTTCACTGTGATTAAAATCGGAGTTAGAGGTTGGATACATGCCTTTCGGCTCTGTCGGAGTCATAGCCCACCCCTATCTATGCTTCCTAGAATATAACATATTGACATTGGATCATACGGGGGAAATTCTTGTATGGTGGGAGAAGGTATTGAACTGTGATGCCATTCAAACATGGGTATCAAGCATATTGGATGTGGCACCAGTAAAGCACGAACAATACCTATTTGTGAGTTGTAAAACAAATAAAAAGGTGATAGATGTTCAAGCGTGGTGTTGGGAGATGTCCTCTGATGCTTAAGATGATTTCTATGTTGAATATGATCCTTGCTTAAATCAATCTCAAAAGGCAGATCAATGGATTTGTCTAATATTATTATAGGTGAGAGCTGGGAGCTTGTACTTAGGTCCCTCAATTATGGGGTCTTACCCACACTTATACAAGGTCTGCATATATGACTGTCTCGTGAAGTATTCTTGTTTGATTGGCATTGTCTTGTCATGAGTTTCAAATGAAATACGACATTTTGATTGTCTGGAGGAAAGACATCAGGTGAAAGGCAGTAATTAGGTGATCAAACACCTTCTGTGCAAAGGTCACAATTGTAGAGGCTAAATTGTCTTTGTCTGACATAGAGAATTGTTGTTGCATGTGTCAAGACATTCTACCTTGAATGTAAAACAATGATTTGGATTTCATGTGGCCCGAGCCATTTCTTTGTCTTGCCTTTGTTTCTCATGCATATATACCTCTTGGAGAATGAGTAGGGGTGGACTACCCTTTTACTTTTTGTCTTGATTCTTGGCGAAAGCTTGTCCAGCTTGTCCTTTTTTCCTTTGCTAAAATACGACCGGTAGAAAATATAAGAAAAGATGAGTGCCAGCATGGAGCCTGAAATATATGTCTTATTTGACATAATTCCAAGACTGATTATTAAGCTCGAATATTGATAAATCAGAGGTACAGTCGAAGAGCTCAAAGAGTTTGTGATATAGTAGATTCACTAGGTGGAATAACCAATCGAGATAAGAAATATAACTTGCAAATTTTCATATCCATAACAATGGGCCAATTAAAAGCAATAAAATAAAAGCATAGTAGTGCTCGGTAGATCACTAATGAATAGATGGTTTAAGATCATTGATGCATCACAATCAAGCCTGGAAAATGATAGGCCAATCATAAACAAGTTTTAAGGAGGACCATCATAATCAGTCATAAGAAGGACGAGCGCAATCCAATACTGAATAAAACGAGAAGAATCAAATCCAGGAGAAGATAATCTTAGCCAAGTCTTGAGGAGGATGAGAGCACAACCGAGTCTCGAAGAGGATAACCATAGATGAATCTTGGGAGGAAACTCATTGAATGGTCATATCCGAGTCTCAGATGGTACAATCAAATCCAAATCTTGAGAAGGACAAGTTTTTATTGTCGTTCAAAGCTGTTCTGGCCTTTGAGGAAATACCTAGGAAGCACAGATACGAGTACAAGATACAGGTACGATATGATACGAGTACGAAAAAACCCCAACAAATAGGATACGAGTACAGTCAGATTACATCTATAAATATATATATTTTATATTTTTATTATTATGCAATGACTTGATAGCTATAATTTTTAGTAGTTTTTTCATAATAATAAAAAACATTAACAATTATTTATTTTCAAAAAGTTGTCTATCGTCTCACTATGATATATCTACAAAGTGAATGCAATTAATTAAAGGAATAAGAACCAACATTTAACCATATTATTTGCTTAGAAGTATTTTTTGCTAAGATTATAGAGTTATCAACTCATTTAAACTCTTTGGATATGTGATAATGGATAATACTTAGAAAACATCTATGTGTCTTCCAAGTTATATGAATTTTTGTTGATATATTGCATTATATGTGACATCAAAAGGAATGAGTAAAATTAAAACTAAAAATTACACATATTTTTCAGCATATAGAAGTATTCATATATTTTATTTATTATTGGATATGTTTAGTGTGTATCCGATACGTATTCTCGAGTATTCGATAAGTATCGTATTCAATACACTATCCGATACGGATACATTGACTTTAACGAAGTATCAGGACTGAATCCTTCAATGCTTTTAGTTTCTAAGGAAGGGCTAGACTACCTCTGGTGTTTGTAGAAGGCCCAAAAACCTCTATTCCTAGGTGTACTCATTCCATGGTACGAAGGTTGATAAGGTCCCTGGGACCCTCCTTACGTTTTTGCCGTCGTATCTGAGCAAAGAAGTAAAGGATGAGTTGAATAAGCTTTTACCTCCTTTTGAACGTTGCTAAAGAACTAAAGGCATAATTTGACAAATGGATAAATCCGCAAGACTAGACAAGACCAAAGAAAAAAAAAAGAGTGGTTCACCCTTACCTTTCTCCAAGGGGCAAATACGTGAGAAGCAAAGGCAAGACAAACAAAGGGGATGCCCCATATTAAGTACAAAACATTTCTTTAAATAAAAAATTAGATGTCTTTGCATACACATCAAGAATTCTATCAAACCAATGCAATTCGGCCTTTGCGATTGCAACCTTCACACAACAAATTGATTTTCATCTTATTGTCGGCTTTCACTTGAGTGCCTTTCCTTGAAGAAATAAGGTCACTCTTCATTTGTAAGTCATGATAAAATGCCACAAATTAGACCAAAGTACTTCATCAGGAAGTCATATGAAAGCCTTCCGTTCCTAGTTGTCACCTATACTACTACAAAATTCTATTACTATGATCTTTTACAATGATTATACACTTTCCTTGAGATCAATTCCTATATAGTCTGACTTTAGCGTCCAAGGGCCTCTCTGGGCACCTCGCCGGGGTACCTTTGACCCCTTCTCTGTTTTGCAGTTCTCAAACTGACAGATATTCGAGCTCTACCAGGTGACACATCTAACATTCCTGATGCCCGTATTTGAGTGAGGTGCACAATTCAACACCACCTCTGGTGGTATGAGTTTTCCCCCTGCAGATCAACATAGCAATTTAGGGTCCAATAAAATTAAATTATTACCTCATGCAGTGATAAAATGTTTGAGCTAGGAATTGCAAGGTCATGGATTTGCATCCAAGATAGCAACTCATAGGTTAGGCTTGTATCCAGTTCACCCCTCCCAATCCCCCCTGCTAGCACTCCACTTATGAGAACCAGATTGGGAAATGTCTTTTCTTTTTCTCTTTTCTAAGAAAAAAAAAAAGCCCTGATTGAATGATCACTTTTAATCAGTCTGTTGTCAATTTATACAATGTGTAAGGTATGTCTGCTACACTGTGAACATAGGTGTTAGAGTTAGACTGGTATATGATGTCTTTGGACCGTAAAATATATATTTAGGTGTCCCAATGCTATATGTAGTTGATAGTGATAATATTTAGTAGAAATCATTGGTTGTTTTTGGTGGTGATATGCAGATATTGTAAAAGGGCAAAAGCTGTCTTCAAAGAATTGAAGCAAGTGCCACACATTGTTGAGCTTGATGAGAGAGGTTTGTTTTCATCATCTATTTTCTTTTTTTTTTCTTTGCTTCTTTGGTGGTTAGAATTGATTGTGCAAAACTTCAAAGGGACTTCAGAAACATGTTGATGCAATAACAGATGAGGTAATGCAGTTAATTTGAAAAGGTGAATGGAGGAAATTGTATAGACTTGCTCTCCTGTTGTCCATGGCACTCCTATTGCTCAACTCTACTGTTTCAATGCATTTTTAAAAGAAATTTATAGTTTTTTTGTTCCTCTTGGTCTTGAAAAAGGAGGCAATTAGTAATTGTGGACACTTCTGCCAAAAGAGTTCTTTCACAAGAGTTGCAATTTCCCCCTTTATGTCCTCAGATGATGGCGGGAATNAAAGAGGAAGAAAATGAGTATGCAACAATATTGTGTAGGATGTATATTGCCTACACCCTATCACTTATTTATATTAGATTAATATTGAAAAACAATCACAAGATTTAGAAAGTAGAGCATAACAAGAAAACGACATAATAGGAAAGTAACATAATAGGCAAGTAGAACAATAAAAAAGTAACACTCCAACACTCCCCCTCAAGTTAGAGCATAGAGATAAAAAATGTCAAGTTTAGAATAAAGCCTACTAANGAGAGATTGTTGGGAGGCGTACTGTGCCTCAGGTGTTTGTAAATGGCAAGCATCTTGGAGGTTCTGATGGTAACCTAGTGATCCTTAGTCTAACTTTATTTCCTTTCTCCATTTGCATTAAATTCTACGAGAACATCACCTCTACAACTCACAAAATACTGATTACAGATACTGTTGAAGCTTATGAAAGCGGGAGACTGGCTAGACTTCTGGGAGTTGCTGCTAGGGATGAGGATGATCTCTGAGTCAGGAATATCAAAATGATCAGTTGGTTTCAATTGGAACATGGAATTCAGTGTCTAGCATGTAATTCGTTCCCTTCTAGTAAGGTCATCACAAGTGTTCTTCTATCTTTGCCACCTGCTCTGTTTTGCATTTAAACTTTTAGAGTGGTTGTTATTGAGCAGGATACCATATTTCCTTTGCCCAAACCTTGATGAGTGTCGAGATTAGCTTGAACTGTGATCAATTTTACTTCAATTACATGACCGCGCACTTATAATTCATGGGGTTTTTTTGGTTTGGAATCAGTATATATTTTGCTGGTCTTAAGGTAATTTTTATTTATTCATTACAATTATGAGACGTTTGGGGCTACAAGCTCCAATTACTCACTCAGTTTTGTGCATCACAGTGCATTCACTAATTAGTTTGGGACCTTGGATCATTTGAGTGTTCAGATGATATTCTTCTTCCCTCCATTTTCCCTATTGCCTGTGGAGAGGTGTTCTGTTATTTTTAATTACCCTGCCAATAAATAAAAACGCTATCCTATCTGAAAGGTTTGACTGCAAAAATCCTATTGTTATTGGTCCAAAACTACCCGGATTACATTTTCTGGATACCAGGAGTTCCAGACCACTCTACATCTGTTATTTGAAGACTTGACTCAAACTCACCTCAATAAATTTTGTCCAAACTATGCGGTCGGTTACTGCTGAAATGAAGAGGTTTCCCATGTGGATTCGTCAATTTTTGGGCTGACACAGGACAGGCGGCTTGATGCCTACTTCAAGTATACAGATCAAGGTACTCCTATCCTATGTTTATGGTGGTTCAACATTGTGAACTTTACCAAACTCAATAGTCAAATAGTAGCAGAATTGATTAAATGGCAAAGAAGATGCTGAAGCAAAACAGTAGGTGAATTTTTATCAAAAGGTCTGTGACAGTGCCCTAGAAGAGTAGTGCTACAAGTAGAAGTCCAATTCTTAAAAACTTGCATTTCAGTGACATCTATTTTATTCATTAGGGCAAATTCCACTTTATACCATGTGGTATACTCACATAACACTTCCATTTTTTATGGTTCAAATACAATCACATGATGCCGATTGATGCGTATACTATAGCTGAAAATCGAATAATCTAATCCTAATCCTATATTAGGGTTAAGGAAAAGAAACAAAAAAAAAAAAGGAAGAAAATGAGTTGAAACAAAGAAACAAAGAAACAAAGAAAAAGAGGAAGAAAATGAGTATGCAACAATATTGTGTAGGATGTATATTGCCTACACCCTATCACTTATTTATATTAGATTAATATTGAAAAACAATCACAAGATTTAGAAAGTAGAGCATAACAAGAAAACGACATAATAGGAAAGTAACATAATAGGCAAGTAGAACAATAAAAAAGTAACACTCCAACACTCCCCCTCAAGTTAGAGCATAGAGATAAAAAATGTCAAGTTTAGAATAAAGCCTACTAAAGTTGTACGGTATCAATGGTTTGGTGAGAAAGTCATGAGTTGATTGCAATGTCCCCATCTTGTCAACAAGGATGATAAAACCAACCATTTATGGACTTCTTTAATTAACAAATACTCTCCCTGAGCAACAAATTCAGGTGGTTACTCCAAGTAAAGTCTAAGGCACCTTTGATTTTCTAGAGAAACAATTAACGAGCACACCAAAACAAGCAATAGCAAATGATAATCATGACAACATAGAGAATAAGAACATAATGACGATAGAGGAGAAACACAACAACACCAACACCACAAAAAACCTCGGACAATAACAAATTGAATCACAACAATCAAAAATAGTGTAAATCAAGCAAAACTGGAGTTGAATTAACCAAAAAGAGGTTGAACCGGTGTTGAAAACCACAAAACTAATACTCAACCGGAATAAAAACTCCAGTATTGGCACCAAACTAGGTTGAAAATATTGAACTGAAATTGAATTGGGATGAAAAATAGTCAACCAACACCAAATTGGGTCGAAACCCAACGAGTTGACATTAGACCATGTTGAAAACATTAAATCAAGATTTAAACCGCTAAACCAACACCAAACTATGTCAAAAACCACTGAACCAATATTAAATTAGGTTGAAAAAATTGCGTCAAAATTCAATTGGGATAAAAACTACTAAACCAACACCAAACTGAGTCGTAAACCATTGAATTGGAACTAAATTGAGCTAAAAACATTGAACCAGAGCTGATCGGGGATGAAACCACCACCAAATTGGGCTGAAAATTAGTAAATCTAACCAAAAACAATAAGCATTGCACCAATGATCAAACATCAAAGACACGGACACAGACGCACGCACCCCTATAATAGCTGATAATGATTACAACAGTTGCTGAACGAACACCAATAAACTACAATTTGATGTGTGCTAGGTTGGCCCAACCACTAAGTGAGTGAGATGCTTGACTAGGGTTGGCTTCACTCACAAAAGTATTTTGGGGGTATGAAATAAAATAATCCTATGTTAGGATTAAGGAAAAGAAGAAGAAGAAGAGGAAGAAAAAGAAGAAGAGGAAGAGGAAGTGGAAGAGGAAGAAGAGGAGGAAGAAGAAGAAGAAGAAGAAAAAAGAAGAAGAAGAAGAAGAAGAAGAAGAAGGAGAAGAAGAAGAAGAAGAAGAAGACATATCACCTATTTATATTAGACTGATATTGAAAACAATAAAAAAAAAGTGATATAATAGGTAAGTTGTCTACACCATATCACCTATTTATATTAGATTGATATTGAAAACAATCACAAAAAAAGTGATATAATAGGTAAGTTACATAATAGACAAGAAGAAGAAGAAGAAGAAGAAGAAGATATTGTGTGTAGGATGTATGTTGTCGACACCATATCACCTTTTTATATTAGATTGATATTGAACCCAATCACAAAAAAGTGATATAATAGGTAAGTTACATAATAGATAAGTTGAACAATAGGAAAATAATACTATTTGGTGAGATGATCTGACTAACTCTAGGAGACAGGTGAGCATGCCTAGTTTCTCCCTTGGAGACCATGCCAAGGGGCTTTGTTCCCTTTGTTGAAGGACCATAACTGTTTCGCCTTTGGCTCCCAACGTCTTGGAGCCTTGAATGATGCTCTCGATCAGGACAACTCAATACACTGAGGTCTAAAGCCACACTTCAAAATAAGACCTTTTTATTTTTTAATGCTAAATTAAAAGTATTTTCTTCATTTTTTAGGTTAATTTCTAATTTAGTTTTGTGCCCAAGTTTTACTCATATCTTTCCAATTGATAGTATGATTAATCCACCTAAATTTTCTAATGATATAAGATTTTTTAGTTGATCATTCTAAATGATTTTATGATAAATTTTTTTGTTATATTTTGTTTCTACAAGTTACAAATTTCTCAAAGCCTTCTTTTTGAGATTCAATAAGTTTTCTGAATTTTATCTCTTTTAAGTATTTTTTTTTATGCATATGCTTGTTTTCTAGTTGTGATATTTACAATTCAATACATTCTATCTATTTCAAAAATATAATATGAGCTTGGAATTGAAAAAGGTATAAAATTATAAAATTAATTTTATCATTGTTTCCTACAAACTTGGGATACGTTATTTTGATTTCTCCCTTAACATTGCCTAATTAGAAAATATGTAGAGAGAATAAGTGGATTAATGTCTTTTTAATGTACTTGGATTTAGGGGTTTAAAAAGGTTCTACACTTAAAATAGAGAGAACGATAGGGGGAGGGGTGGTTTGTTGAGATAGGAGATGAGAATAAATGATTGGATTAGTGCTTTATTTTCTATGTGGAGACAAAAACAGAGTTAGAGAGAGATTGTGGAGTGCATTTAGCTTCAATTTTGGATAGAGTTATTCCTACCGTACATTACCTTAGGCCTACCATACATTACCCTTTTTTTTTTGGTACTAAATTTGATTGTATAAGACGTGTACTAGACNGAGGGGCTATGCGAAGGGGTGTCAGGCCAACTTCCCTAGGGACCCTTATGCCCCTAAGCCTTGACACATGAAAACAAGGCACGACCCCAACAAATGCTTGTCATGGCTGGAGGCAAGACATTCCAAAGTCCTAGACCCGAGATGCAGGGCCAATGATCAAAGGGACTGTCGTTGGCTGAAACCCCATGCATGGCTGAAGGAGGCAGCGCATGCATGGGTACATTGGGCATGATNTGGTACTAAATTTGATTGTATAAGACGTGTACTAGACTTTTAGGCCTCAATCATTCAACTAAGTTGATTTTGTCACTGTTTTTTTTTTTGTTGGCTCAGGTTTCTATGGTATGGACTATATTGAAGACCTACAAATATGGAGCCTTATTTTTGGATGGGGTCGAAAGTCGTTACCTTAGTAGCCTTAGTGTGGAGCAGGCCCTGTTCTCAATCTTAGAGAGGGACTATGTTAGAGTACTCCCCCAGATTTTCATTTGTTGGAGAAAACCTCAAGTGGCGATGATCGTCTAAACACTGGAGACTGTAATATCAATGAGGAACTATGTTGATAAGTGNCAGTCGTATCACCCATCAACCAGCAGAATACCTATGGATACTGTGTAATTCGATAACACACCATTATGCCCCATTTATCGAGATCCATAACTTAACAAAATTTGGACAGAGTTTTCTTTGTATGAGGAGCTCTACCCAAAATGCAACATGTGCAATCATACAACATTGACCAAACTAGGCCCATTCGTCCATACTCAATTGCATGGTATCGGATACTACCATAATCATCATCACAAGTAAACATATACAAGGAACTGCAAAGTCAAAATAAGAGCCACAGACCGGCTCTGTCGTCAAAGGGGGGCCATGGCCTTGCCTTCGGTGGACGCCTATGCGATACTTGAAAATTGTTACCATAAAGGGTGAGTCAACGCTCAATAGGGTAACTCCTGTAGAGAATACCTCTTAACCCAAATGCATATGAAATGTCACATGCAACAATCATTTCATGCATTCATTCAATTATGTATATTATGAACAAATGTCA